TCACCTCCAGTCGTGCGACGTCGGTCGATGATTGGGTCTACGTGTTTTTTAACTGCCGCTTGTCCTGTTTCTGCCACTACCTCTGCCGATGGACTCCTGTACGAGTCTGAAAGCTCAGGATAATAAACGAATTGTTCCGGTGCTCGACTCTTCTTCTTCTTCTTCTTCAAATATGTATACACCTGGAACTCGAAATTTCGCCTTCGTACATCATTAATAATCGGTCGCCTTAGGTGTTGGGCACCGCACACCCATTCTAGGTTTTCGAAAAAAAACGACGAAAAAGCGTACATTGCAAGTGGTATATTTCTTAAGTTGCCGGTCATAGAAGGAACATCAAGAAACGCAGAAGGTTACATGCGAACGCTTGCAGCTCCAGCGATCGCTTCGAGCGTCTCCAGTGGTTTCTTAGACGACCAACTCCAAGATGTCAAGTCGTTGCTGACATCAGCTGGCCCGCCTGGTGCCGTGAAAGTCTCCACCGTGTTTCCTGAGCCTGCAAATTGTGAATAATTCCAGTGAAATTCTACTTTCATAAATATCAAAATAGACAAAATTAACGTACGATTTGCACAATACCGCTAATAAAAGATTATTTCAATAAAACTCAGAGTAGACTGAGTAAGCTTTGAACGCAGTATCTACTGAAGACGCTTTAACCAGTCGGCTGCATAAGTCTCGTAAAAATCTATTTTTAGAAGCAGGCGATTTGCACTACAAACGGACTACCATCGGCCCTAACTTCGTTGTGTTTACGAAACGCCAGGCAAAGTCACATTTACACATGGTTGCCATCACTAGGGATGTCTTAATCTTCCTCAGAAAAAGGGATTACGCAGAAAAGGCCATTGAATGGCATGAAAAAGAGGAGAAAGTGGAGAAGGAATGCAGTCAGTGTAGAGCAAAGAAGGAGGAGGCATCATTACCGAGAGCAAAGATGGCGTCGTCGGTGGAGGTGAGAAGAGAGAAAAGCGAGCGGGGTTCCTTCATGCCGGCCAAGTCTGTCCACTGGCCCCGGGGACACCTGGCATCTGGTGGTGTGAACATCTCCACCACGTTTCCACCACCAGATCCCCCGGCGACAATGATTTTCCCCCGAAAGTGTGTCGCTGCCAGCGCGCATCGTGCAGTTCTCATGGGTGCGGCTGGCTGCCAAAAGTCCGACGAGGTCGCCCTCTCTCGCCAGTCTGCTCGCAGGTGGCAGAACTCCACAGAAGCCAGCAGGGAGAAGAAACCATTCAGCCCGCCAAAAACGAAGATTCGACTGTCGCCGGGCAGGCAGGCAGCAGCTGTGGCGTCCCTCTTCTCTCGCAGATCAGGCAGTTTGAACCACCTGTGTGTGTTGGGGAGGAGGAGGAGGAGGAGACGAGTGAGAAGGCAAAACAGGGAGATTTTGCAAAAAAAAAAGGAGGCGCCAGGACGAGTGTGCTCTCACCTGTCCCGACTGACTTCATAGACTTCACAAGAGGAAAGGCGTCCACCGTTACCCCATCCACCGAAAACGCCGATAAGCGCCCCCCCTCCAGCTTCCCTTACGACTGTGGCTGCGTGCTCGCTGCGTCCAACGGCGAGGGACGCCCGTTTGCGCCAGCGCCGTTCTGCCACCAGAAACTCCTCGACACTCGTGGAGTTGCTCGCTTGTGCAGTATTTCCTCCAACCACGAAAATGCTCTCTTCCGTGGGGGTGGGGTGGAGTAGAAAAAAGACTCATAAAATTGCGCGGAAGAAAGTTAAAGTGGAAAGATAAAATAAAAAAGGCATGTAGTTGACAGAAAGAGGGCGAATATCATCGTCGGACAAAAAGACGTGGGCGGACAAATCTCCCAGTTGAGTCGCCGCCAGTGACGGACACAAATCACGCAGGTGGAGACACGGTTGGGTAAATCGAAGACGGAAAACAGCAAACGCGTCGGGACAGGCCAGGCGAATGGACAACTCGGACACCTGAAAACCCCTCAATTACTGCTGCTACTACTACTACTACTACTACTACTACTACTACTACTACTACTACTACTACTACTACTACTACTACTACTACTACAATCCTATGCATCGTGTGGCGATGGCAGCTGTACTGGCAGAACTGTGTGTTTGTTATAATTCCGGCAAAAAGGGACACCAACTGGTCAAATTAGACAAAGAGGAAAACAAGGCAGGTGCGCAGAAGAGGAGGTGCGTAACTGTCAGGCAACTCACCGCCCACGACACTGTAGGAGGCGTGCTCACGCTTCTCCACGTCGGAAATCCTCTCTTCCTTTTGCAGCTGCGGATTGAAACGCAGGACAGACCACCTGTTCTGATCTTTGTCCTTTCCAAATACGATGATCGTCGGATGCGTTCTCCGACGTTGGTTGAAGGGACACGGAGGCTTGTTCTTGTCCGCAATGATCATCCACTGTTCCACCTGAGCCATAAGGCGACTTTCATTAGAAAATAAATGACGAACTGGAACAGCATATACTTACACACAGCTATTGCCTTCCTGGAAAATTGGATGACTATCGACGAGGCGACTGCGAAATTGGAGAGTCGTCTGACACCAACGAACCTCCTTTAACATCTCGGGCGCGTGCAATCTCAGTCTCTCATTATCGCACTCTTTATCTCCGGCAGCCACCCAGCTTGAAATCGCCTCAAAAACTGCCTCCTCGGAGTCAACTGGCAGATTGTCGTTTCGCAACAAAGTCAGCACGGTGTCAGCTGGCAGGCGAACAAAGAGGTCAGACGACACGAAACTCCTAAACTGCTCTTGCATCAGATTGATGCAAGTCTCCATCAGGGATCCCATGCGCATAGATTTGGCAAAGTCCCATGTGGTTGCCAGATTTTCTAAATTCACTCTTTACAGCCGACAGTTAGACAGAAAGAACCGGCACTTGCTTACCTACTGGCCATGAATTGCACTCCCCAATTCTCCAGATCAGACAGTTTCATCATTTTCGCAAACATCACTATGGCCATCGCATTCGTTTGGGTCACCTCCAACTGCCCGGTGTACACATACTGGAGGAGTGAATTTGCGAGGCTAGAAAGTGCAAAAGCAAAATCAGAGAAAGGAGGATGATTTTACTTCAGAGGCACCGTCGGCCATTTTAGCACCGAATTATCCTTCCCATGGGCGCCACTGAGAGCAGCTCGCAATGACGGAATGCGAGCTGCTAGTATTATTCGATGGGCATCGAGAATAGCGCCGTCCTTCACCTAACAAGCATGAACAAATTGCCGTGTAAAGAACGGCAACAGGAAGGAGAGCTACCTCTATGACGAGCTCTTTCAATTCTCCCGACGTGCGAATCTCGTTGAGGGCTGGACAGCTACGAACCAGGGGAAATGCGTCTTCGAATACTTCGACGTCTGCGAGCGCCATCTCGAGTGATAACTGGAATAGGAGCGACGAATGATCTCGAGTGCCATTAGCACTGCCTCTTATAGTGCCAGCACACTTTGAACCCGCCCGCACGCACGCACTCATGACCTTCAGGTCCTGATTGGCCGATTTCAAAGTGCGGATTCGATTGGGCGATAGTCGGCACAGTTATGTGGTGTAATGCGTAGGTGAGAACCCCCGAGTTATTTTTATTGGTCAGGGCTACGTGAGCTAGAAACCGCCGATGGCGTACATTCAAAGCCAAATGGACTGACATGTAACTTGCTGATGAGGACACCGTCTGTGAAGGTTCAATTATTGCCACTGGGTTTTGGTTCGTTTTGTGCTGATAAAGAATACTCGTAAAAACCACATGGTCGTCCGACTAAACAGACGTACAGTTTAGGTGCATCGCTTAGCAGAGAAGGGTGGGTGGCTGGGTGGGCTTTCGTATGTCCATGCGGAAAAACGAGCAAATAAAATAGTTCACGTGGAATAATTTTAAAGACAGTCCTTTAGTAACGTTCGCAAATAAATACCCAAAGAGAATACGTAACGTCTAAAACGTTACGTATTTTGATTGCTTATTCGGCCCCTTCAATGAAATGTCCTTTTCTTGTGCAGAAATTGTGTTTGCGCAATTATATCCAGCAAAATATTAAATATTTTTTTGGCGGAAATGAACGTTACAATATATTCGTGTCATTTCATATGCTAATATCTGTCCTAGACTTCGGTTGTGCATTTAAGCGTGTTCCTCTTTAAAAGGAGACTAATTTACTCACGGGAGTTTTAATAAGCAGAGATTTGCGGACTTGAGAATTTGTTTTATGTCCGATCCTAACCGTGGTAATCAATTTGCCCACACAAAGGTCACTTTAAAAGAACCAAATATTTTCACGATTTTTAAAAAAAGTCATATAAGCAGGTCAGTGCGACTTGGTGCCCTGAAGTGCAGTAATAACGCAGACAGGGATTCCTTCATTTAAATGGGCTGAAATTGTTTTGCCGTTTAGAGGATTTAACGTGATTTCACAGAAATGACCACTACCGAATGGCCATTTCCAGTCTTGAAGATAAGAAACATTCCTCGCCGTGTAGTCTAGTTTGCGCAAATGCCTTATTCAGAAATGGAACGAGCCAAACATGAGCAGTTTCATCAGAATATCAGTATTTATGTGGACGCTCTCTCGTGCATTCATAATCGATGAACGGAGTCTAAACGCGAGCAAAAACAATGAAAATGGCCGCAATATATAGAGAAAGATATAGCCTTGCGTTTACGGTAGAAATATACCAGTATGGTTTAGGAAGGTGTAAGAAACGACCAAAATTATCATATTTTTTTCTTGGCCTCACCGCGCAAAAGTGCAAAGTACACAGAGATCCGTCAACGGAGTGCAGTAAGAAAGCACTTCCTAAAGAGGTAACTTATTAGAGAGAGTTTTCAAATTGTGATTGAAAGCCTATTTGTTACTGACTTTCGTTGTGGACAGCTATTCTATTCGACAATGAAGTTTCATGCTTGCGTGAGTCTTCAAATTCGACTCAAACGACCTTCTTCATGAAAAAGAACGTTCAAACACTCGCTACTTCGATGAATGCCTTATTTAAAAGTTTAACAGAAACATGTTACAGAATACCTCTTTATGGGCGATCGGATGACAAAACTGAAAATCAGCAGCGTTATCCTGAAGAGACTAAAATTACACGTTGATTTAACGCAAGAAAAAGTTATATTTATAAACACAAAATAATATAGGCTGTATGTTATTACAGACAAAAACAGGGAAGACTAGAATAGCAATTTTTGGCTTATTAGCCGTCGTCAGTCAGTCATACCCAATCCCGAAGCGTGGAACACGCGAGGCTCGAACTCGCGACCTGTTGGTTAGATGCACACGCCTCTAACCACTCGGCCACGATCCCAAGAGTCGAAGACAATCGACTAATGTAGAATAACCACGTAATGCCAATTCAATAAACGAGTACTACCACAAGTAGTATGAAATGTATGCGTCAAAGATACCATACCGTACTCCGGACACATGTACTAACTAAATGCCCAGACATGTGTTTCGCCGATACGCTGCTTCTACGTGACACAGCTACGAGGGGTTCGGCCCTTGGGTATGACTAGCTAACGACGGCTTATACGCCGGAAATGGCCATTCAAGTCTCCCTTGTCTTTGCCGGTAATAACATACTGCCTATATCATGCGCCGCTGTGCGGCTGCTGGTTGGGTTCCAGAGAGAGCCCGTAAGGCACGACGGAAAGAGTGAGTTCCGTAAGAACGATCGGTGAGCGTCCCCTACCAAAAAATACAGTTAGTGACCTAACGCATGAAATGTGTCCAAATTTACGAATGATTGCTAATCACTCGCAAACCGACACCATTTCACGAGTCCGATTTCTATGTTAATTAACTACAAGTTTAAAAGCATTAAAAACACAAAAAAACTGTTAAAGACAGTGAGACGTTATTGAGAAATTCCGATTTATTTTGAAAAGCGCAACATCCCGAAAACGTCAGAAATGGCTCTAATTTAGTAAACGTCGTTTTTAGATGTACATAATGTATAATCATACCACAAACGTAGTAAATATGAAAGCAGACATAAAATAACATCTAATAACAGAGTTTTAGCGAAGTTTACATCTAAATATCGTTTAATGAGTAGTGTGATTTCATATATGACGGTGTGTCGACTGCCTACATTCTGAGTGCAGACTCCAAAACAGTTTTCGAGTAAGTCCTCCTTCATTTTATTTGTTTAAAGTAAATGAGATGGGGTTCAACAAGAAAAGTTGGATTTTGCTTGATTTCACCGATGGGGACGTCGTGGGAACAAAAGTTTTCATGAGACATGCCATGAGACCGGTCGGTGCCGAATAGAACTGACAGGCGTGATCGTGAACGTGCCATTTTGAGTTTATAAAGATAAATATTCTTCCGTTAAATTACTTTACACTTCTCTTACGTTTTGGATAACGCTGAGTTTCAAATCGGCCTCGAAATGTTGCTGAATACTTAGTGATTTTCAGTGTTTTCACCCGATCGTCCATAAAGACAGATTCTGAATTTCCTTTCTGTTGAGAACTTAAAAATAAGATTATTCTTGAAGGCATTTACCGAATTAGTGAGTGTTCGGGCGCTCCTTTTCACGAAGATGGTCGTTTGGGTCACATTCGAAGACTCATTCAAACATAAAACTTCATTTTCGAGAAAAATGTCTGTCCACAACGAAAGTCAGCAACGAATATGCCTTTGATCAATGAAAAAGCTTCCGGTAGTAAGTTACCTCTTTAAGAAGTGCTTTCTTACTGCACTCCGTTGATGGAGTTGATAAAACATCTGGTTTTCCTAAAATATCCTTTGTGTTAGCAGGTGGATCAAGATGGCTATGATCGAATTTAAAATAAAATTTATAGTCCGGCTAAACCTGTTTATTAAAACTCTCATGGGCAAATTAATATCCTTTCAATGAAAAAGCCGCTTAGATGCGTAACCGGAGTCTAAGACATGTATTAGTATAGGAAATTACACGAATGTCATCCAACGTCCATTTTCGCTAAAATTTACAGATATTTTACTTGATATAATTACGTAAACACAATTTCTGCACAAGAGAAGGACATTTTGTTGAAGGAAGTGGAAGAACGAACAAAAAGCTCAACGTTAAAGGCATCCAGAAATTCTCTCATCAGTTTCCATTTTCAGATTTTATGAGATAGGTCACGTACTGTAATATGTTTAAGATTGAGAGAGAGTGCCCGTAAGGCACGACGGAACGAGTGAGTTCCGTAAGAACGATCGGTGAGCGCCCCCTACAACAAAATAATATGTTTAAGATTACGCCTATCCGTTCTAGCGAAATTTATTGGTCACCGATTGGCCTGGCAGCATGTGACGTTATGTAAATTTATGTTCTTAAGACGTCCCCATCGGCGAAGCCAAGCAAAATCTAGTTTCTCTTGTTAAACCGCATCTCAATCAGCCCAAGTAAGTCAAAAATACCGCGAAATCTCCGCAAACTGTTTTGGAATCTATACTCCGACTGAAGGCTGTTGACAAACCGTCATACATGAGATTACACTAACTCTTACACGATACTTAGATGTGGACTTCACAGGAAAAAAAACACTATGTTTGATCGTTATGTTATTTGTACATTGCCATAGAGGAGACTGCATTTGTTTGCCCTACCTTTAATACTACAGAAAACTTAAACATTAACTAGTTTGGATCTCGAAGGTCGGCTTGGTTACCGACCTTTCCTGAAGACTCCAACGTTAAGAACGCAACAAACGACAATCTCGGTGACTCAATGAATGACTTTGTCAAAATGACAGACGATTCAGTGCTGACTGGACGACAGTCATGACAAAATGATTGAGATTATACTGGTGGCAGACTTGCGCAGCATTTACCTCCACGCGTGGCATGACGTTATCCGTAAATTGGTTGCAAACCTGCAGTTCTGCATTACGTCATGGCGAATGATGCTCTCACTAGATTAGGGTTAGACGGATCGATCACAGACAAAATGCCAGTCACGAGCAGTCCCACGCAAGCCTAGGTGCATCGCTTGGCAGTAAAAACTACTCATCTGGTGCAGAGGGAGGGAGTTGGTGGCTGGGTGGGGTTTCGTGCGTGCAGACTGGAGTCGCACTCGAGTTGCGTGCGTAGCATAGAGGCATCCACCCAGTGACAAGAGGATGACACACTCTCAGCACCGTCTTCACTGCAGGCTCGCAGCGGCTGGTGTTACGAATTAGGCGGAACAAGGATTTTATTGGCCTGGCATTTCACATTCCTGCTTGGACCCATCATCAGAGACAATAGCCAAGTCACCCAAGAGTCCAAACGGATGACGAAATCCGGCAGTCAGCCACTCGACAGCGTGCGATGAGCGTGGGGGCCGATAATCTTGACGCGTAGTAACGGCATGGCAACTGCATACTTCAACACCTGGCCAGTCCAGCTGTGATGCACTCG